CCGTTCGATCTTGCTGTTATCGAACGAGAATGAGACGATTTTCAGTTCTTAACTCAAAATTTTAGCTTTAAAGGGAAAAAATGAAGGCGTACAGATGATTGATCACTCATTAAATAAATCACAGAATATATTCTCAAAATGACATATAAAATATTGAGCTATCAATCTAATTTATACAGTTGATACTCAGCCAATATTTTTCTACATTACTGCATGTCTCATCTATAGACAGATTCTATATGAATATGTCTTAGAAAAAACTATTAGACATAAAATATAATTAGTCTGAGTTTTTTGTTCTAAATTCTAGAATTGATCTCCATTTTAGGAAGAATTAGGTCAATATTTCGAAAATGATCCAAGTAGAATATTAGAAGAAAATTTTAGAGGTAGAATAAAGCTTTTTAGGTTTGTCATATGCTTAATTCATCATTATTACCTTTTTGTTCAGCTGATTTACCGGACTTTGCTACAGACGAAAGAGACTCAGAATCATTAGATTTAAAACGTAAGTATGACAAACAAAATTTGTTTAATGTTAAATGCACCTAAATTTTGCACCTAAACGAGCGACGTGAATTTATAGTAAATTGCACGTATTCATCTTTTTTCTTTTAGGACGATTTTGCTGTATGACTTCTAAGCATGGTAAAAAACGATCGATTAGAAGTAAAAAAAGTCTTTAAGAGACAATATGTTAATTCGGTAAAACAAATACTCTCTCTGTCTGTAGCTGCGTTTACGTATCTGGTTAAAATCAGTTCTATCTTATTATTTTTCATTGTATTTTAATTGGTTTGAAATATACTATCATTTTCTCTTGTTTTTTTAAGTATGAAATTAGTAGTTCAATAAGATTACTGTAAAAATGAATTGTTGACTGTATATATACATACCGTGAGGAGAATGAAAGTCTTACAGTTTCAAATGATGTTCAATCGGTAATATCAGATGCTGAGAAAATCGAATTTGCTTTGAAAACACTATGAGTTATTGACTTGTTAAGTTCACTCTACAAAGAAATTCGTCTTCAGATAACCCATGTAAAGTCATTGCGTCTGAAAAGACGCGTCTAGCACTTTTTATTAAAAAAACGCGTCTTAACGCGCTTTACCAAAAGAAGCCTTCAAGACGCGTCTGAACGCGTCGTACCGTGACGCGTTTTTTTCAGGAAAAGTTTGTCAGACGCGTCTGGCACTGGTTTCAAAAAAAAACGCGTCTTAACGCGCGTTGCCTAGAGAAGTCTCAAAGATGCGTCTAAACACGTCGTACCGTGACGCGCTTAGACGCGTCTGGAATGTTTGTTAAAAAAGACGCGTCTGAACGCGGTTTTTTCTTAAAACGTTTGTCAGACGCGTCCGGCACTGTTTATAAAAAAAACGCGTCTTAACGCGCTTTGCCAAGAGAAATCTATAAAGGCGCGTCTGAACGCGTCTGAAGTTTTTATGACGCGTCTTAACGGGCTTTGCGAAGAGAAATTTCCAACACGCGTCTGGGCGCGTTGTCCAGAGAAAAGCGTTTGATGAGATTCTGGGAAACAAAAATGTTTCAGATGCGTTTAGAAATCAATTCAAACGGGTTGCATTCATAATCTAAAGTTGGAGACTTGAAACACATGCACTACATCATTAGCAGTTTTGTCCTTCGACGTATGAATAATGGATAGTATCTATTCAGTTTCACCTACAAACGTTGCAAGAGAAATTGTGTAAGGATAATTGCATTTGTGACCGCGAATGAGTACGTGACTATCATTCGATTTTTTTAAAGATGATGCTATCGAACTAACACTTCCAGCAGAGGGAGAGCGGTCCATTTTGACTATTAATCTGAAAAACGAAAGAAAAGAAAACAGGCGATTAAAATCTTTATTAAATATCTATATTCAATTTTGTCACAAAAACAGATATAAGATCCGTTACAGAAATTACTGCTTTAACCGGTCTAAACCTGTCATTTAGATTTGGGTTATTTCTGGATAGTCTTTCTTGTTTTATTTTTATTATTACGTTTCAACGTCAAAGACGTCTCCGTCAGACAAAAGAAAACGCGCGTTTAAACGCTAGCAAATGGTGCATTTTCGATGCACTCAGACGCGTCTAGTAAAAACGCGTTTAGGCGCGTCTTGGAAAAACGCGTTTAAACGCTAGCAAATGGTACATTTTCGGAGCGATTAAACGCGGCAAAAAACGCGTTGTCAGACGCGTCTGGGATTGAAAAATATTTACATGGGGAATCCATACGGGAAAATAAATACTGTAATTACTTCTTTTTCTAATTAACGAGTCTGCGTTTTGTATGATATGAATTTTTTTTACGAAACTTGACAACCTCAGAATAAGGTTAAAATATTTTTTCTTGATAAACTCTTGGAAGAAGTGTTCTACAAAAAAATTCCAGTGGGCCACTGCCGGTGCGCATCGCTGGCACTGACTGACACCGATGCGCACTCGATGCGCGAGTGTCCAACCAGTGCTGATATATTTATGCCAATTCTGTGTTATAGTTGTATTTTCTTAATTTTGCATTAATTAAAATTCCGCACTGATATGTACCAGTACTACATTGGCATGCCGTAACAGTGCGTCACTGCCTCAGCATTTCTCTTATGAGAAGGAAGAAACAAAGTCAAAACGACATTCGAAACATTACAAGTATACTGTGGTGTTTATATAGATGGACGTCGACCAAACAAAACGGTGATTGAAAAAAATTTGGCACCAGTGTACAGGGATGTTGATAAAGGAAGAAAATTTCTTAAGTCTATAAGAAATCTTCTTATAGGCACTTTTTCGGTACCGGTGCGCACTTCTGCCAACGAAAAAGTATCAGTCCGCACGGGTGCGCATCAGTGCGAAACTTGAAAATCTTGGTGGCACTGGTGTACATCGGTGCCGAATAAGCGACAGTAAAAAATTTTTTTGCAGGGTATAGAAAATATTTTGCGCGTATTCCCACAGCATATTTCAGTATCACATGATCCACTAATCGTTCAACTTCTGACCGTAGAGAAAGACAGGTAAGTAAAATCTCCTTAATTTAAAGTAATAAAGCTATTGGGAAAAAAAGTGTGCAAATGTTTTCTGGGAGACAGAAGTACTTGTCTGTCATCTCCTTTGTCAATTTTGAGATCGCTTAACACTGAAATAAAGTGTTGAGCATGAATAGTTTATATGTCAAACGAAAAAGCAACCAGAGTACTACAAATATCAATATAACCGAGTTTGTATACTAGTCATGAGATATAATTTTTTTATTAATATTTCTCTGCATAAAAATGGGCTTTACTATACTACAAACATACACAAAACAACTACTTCCCAAGTGGTCATACAGTGGCTTCATTGATGATTTATGTATTCTGGGGGTTTTGACGCCTTAATATGAATTTTAGTCGAGATATAACTATAAAGTTTGAGTTGTGATTCTTTATTCATTTAAATCCTGTGTATATAATTATTATAAACCGAGTATGAAATTTTTATAATCCTAAGTCATCAATTTGATCATCCGATCCATAGTAGGCTCTTGGATCTCTTGATTGTTTTCCTCGTGGATTTCTCAGACGTACTTCACCCTGTGACATAGCATCGGTTACATAATCGTAATAGCCACGTTGGTTAAAAAACTGATGTCTAGCTTGCGTCAAATACGTTGCACTAACAAAATCCAAACCCAAATTCCATGCGTGTTGTTCAGCACGTGCCATTAAACGGTTAATAATATCATGATTTTCATAACCGATACGAATAGCAATATAGTTCAAATGGAAGCCATTCATATCTGATATAAAATCAGGTGAGATTTCGGCGTATAGCACACCTACAAGTAAACTTGTTACACCAGCGTAAGCATGCCACCAGTACCGACCGATAATTTCCCCATTATCAATTCTGTGTTGAATAGGTAAAGCATCCGACCAATGTACACATTGTTCTCGAACTAATGGCAGAACATCATTTTCATATGATGAACGAGTACTTCTAAAGACAATAGGAAACTGAGAATCATTATCCGACGTATCTTCACAATCGTCACACAATACATCTAACAAAAGAAAGAAATACTGTTTATCTTAATGAGTCTGATCATTGTGCATACGTCTTCGACATTGAACGACATCTTGAAGAACTAGATGAGGTTGTGACATTGTCGGACAATTTACACCATGACTCATTTCGGGCGAGTCTACTGTTGGAGTAAAGTAGGCGGTTTTTGGAGCACAGGGTGGAATATCATTTTCACACCGGATAGTAAGAGTGGGTAACCGCATGCGAGCGCGTGTATCTCGTAGTGACGATACAGCAGATAACTCAAAAGTTGGGAGTTGTCTTTGGTGATTGTCTAATGCTATTGCTGTGGTTGGCCGACAGCTAGTACGCTCTTCTGGAATGTTGAGGTCGTACAAATTGAGAAGTCGCTGTCTATCCGGGGAATTAGATGACAAATGAGGTAGATCCGATGGAGAAAACGTAGGACGATTAGTAGCTGACATAAGAAGTCTCGTTGTTGGAACATTACCAAACGCAGCATGACTAACTCTACTCTCTGAAAAGAACATATCTGTCAAAGAAAAAGTACATATGAAAATTGATCATCCTTAAACCTTTCATTTTTAATGGATCTATCGGTGATTTAGCATGTTGAGTTTTTAACAAATTAGGTGGTATATCATCACATGTAAATAAATTTCGTCGTTTACTGTAATGTAGATGAAATTTTCTCATAAATTTAGCAGCTATGGCACGTTCTTCAGCATCATGATAACCGGTAACACGATGAAATGTTTCTGCTATTTTTTCTATTAAATTTTGTTTTCTGACAATACTGAAATGTCGACATATTTCACCACCTTCTCCTAAATTTAATACAGCATGTATTAAACGTTCATATGCATGCCATTGATTTGGTTCAAAATAATGCGATATTTGTCTTGGTTCAACATGCTGATGGAAATGTTCGACACGTAATGCAAAACGATACAACGTTGAATCAAAACGATTTTGTGATACTTGACTAAAACGATTTATATTTGAGCGACCTACAACAGCTCCACCATATTGACTAATAGCTAGACGATTTGTTGTGATATCATAACGAAAACGATCATAACTAATATCATTAATGAATATATCACGCACATCTAAATTACAAATAATGGCAATAATCTGACATATGCCATTCTGTACTTGTACTTGTTGTAATAATTCATTAGATAAAAGTGCTTTTTGAAAATTAATATAATTTTCGCCTAAATATGGATCATCAGCATATTCAATCAATCCACCACCTTTATCCGTCGATTGATAATAATTGATTTTTGGAAAAGGAATGATTTGCGGTTGTTGTTTACCATACCATTCATAGATTAACATTTCTAGTAATACGGGCGTTTGTGGATAACATAATCTCATGTCATCGTCGACCATTATTGTTAAATGTCGTTCACCATCATTGACAGCGTGGAATGACGCTATATATGTATCGTCTAAAAGTATACTGAAAAGTAAACTTACATCATCACGGGAACAGCCGAAAAGTATACTTACTAACAAATTTTTCCTTAGAAACATGACCGTGATGTTCATAACAGTACATGACATATTTTTGTCGTAAATTTATGTGTGTTTTATAATAGGCTACATAATTCATATATTTCAAATAGATCATGGAGTTTTCTCGTGTTTTCATAAGAGGAAGATGAACAATGGCATGTTTTAACTGTATTTCTGGATGATCGGGTGTTAGTGTATGTGCACATATAGCTAAACGTAATTGTTGTAAATGTTGAAAATCTATTATTTGATAATTGGCATGTTTTAATGTATCATCAAGATGACGTAAAAATTGAACTGGATTAACAGATGTGCATTCTTCCATCAATAATTCAAATAGAACCGGTTCATTACGATAAGTACCATGTATTACATAAATTAGACATATGATAAATTTAAATAAACACAATAATAATAATTTCATACTTTAGAAGAAAAAAAAGATATACACGAAAAACATATAGACGATAAATAATAAAACAAGCAAAAAATTCGAGTAAAAAATAAGATTAGCGCGCTATGTCGTTATGAATTTTTTTGCATTTATGAAGATCAAGTTAATAGGTACCATAATTTTTGTTTTAGCTTATTATTTGTACATGCAATCAAATTCACAATCGGTTATTTAATATTTCTTATCGTTGAACTTGGCAATATCTACGTGAAACAGGCGAATACACGGTTTTTATAGTACGATTACTGAGTGTGAATACAAAAAACTTGACTTGAATGGAAATACTTGAGTATCAAAAGCATTTAAAAATAAACCAAATTCTTTTTTTTTTTCTAATAACGAAGACTTTTGATCATATTTTTATCATTGAAGAAAATACATTTCATTTGACTTTTAAAAGTATTTGTTCAAGTTTGTCTTACGTGGTTTTATTACTACCGAGTACTTATCAAGAAAGAGTTCTGATAAAACTAGTCAGCAAATTTCTTCTTGTTTTTAGCGTATAAATTTTGGAGAAAACCTTCAACAAACGCATTTTTACGCAAGAAAACATTCTTTTCTACAGAAACATGCAGTGGAGGAAAAAATTAAATTGTAGGTATGATAATTTCTCACACGGATAGTCATTAACTAAAACCATGTAGTAAGAGTTAAAGAGCTTGTAGATACAATTTTAATATAATAAAACAAGAAAAAATTTTCCGTTTAAGAACGTATGTGCATGAAGAGAATGTACACAATTACCGCTTAATTAATATACGTTCTCTTAGTAATTTCCGACTGCTTTTTACCAGAATTCTCAGTACTTGACAGGAATAATATCACGTAATGTAAACTTGGATAAGTACTATGCAAAGTCAAATGAGGGTTTTTGAGAAAACTTTCCAATTTTGATGGTACCTGTTAAAGTATCTATTAAGTATTTTGAATAAATTCGTTCATTAGGGAATGTCAATCTATTAGTAAGAAAGAATAGAAATTAGATTGTTTTATCATTATGTTTCTATTGATTCGAATGGAATACAATGAAAAACAACTTCAATATCAGATAAATAATGAGTGTAATATGCTAAAGTAAGTAAAACTCTAAAATTATTTCATTTGGTTGAATGATGAATGATTTTATGAATGCCTTTATAATATCCAAATATGATAAATAAATGATAGTTAAGTCAAATAGTAGCAATAAATAAAGATAATAATAAAGTTACAGTATTCTATTTGCATCCACTTACTGCACAGTGGGCATTTTTAGCTAGAGCAAGCGGACTTTAGCTTTATGAGTGAACTAAAATTTCATGAATCATTTTTTTATAGGTTTTTCATGATCCTCTTTCTAATGCCATGAGAGTTGGGTTTTGAAAAAGTTTTCCACTGAGTTTTTCAGAGATCCGGTCTCTGTAAAACCCTTCAGAAAACTTTCTCAATATT